AACCCTGCAATTAATCATCTTCTTCGAGACATGTTTATTGAGCACCCCTAACTAGGCAGCTCGTTCCTTCGTAGGGTCTGGGTGATGTTCTTTGACTCTCTTTGACTTTCTTTTAGCTGTCATCACTGTTCGCCAAGGCTGATGGCCACATTCGATGCGAGCCTCTTGGGGTTCGCTTGATCCCGGAGATTGGTTTCCTTACCACCTTACCGAGAACTAAGCACACACGTTTTAACCTCGGGACATCTTCATTCCATCCATCTGGTCGTTAGCATCATCTGCCTCTGATTCCTTCCTCCATGCTCTGATAGACTTTAGTGCCCCCATGTGGATGCTCAAATGGTACCTCCCCTGGACTAAAGACATCCAAGGGCAAGTGGCTGATCACATTTTGAAGGCGTCTCAATTTCACACATTTGTAAGGTTGTATGTTGGAAATCCCCTCAACATTTATCTCTTGTTATCTCAGTGATGTTTTACAGGGGGATCATTCTCATGGACTGGCCGTGCTCAAGATAGGATCTCAGTAGCTGTTATGGCCATCCTTCTCCCTGTAAGTGGGTGCACGCAAGACAGTTACATGATGAGTTGTTTTTGTGCTTACCCCTAACTAATTTGCCTATCCTTGTTGGTTGCAGGTTGCGACTCCTCCGGGGGGCTTGGGGTTGACAATACGCTCTCGCCTTCCCACCGTCCTCTGGTTCAGTGCTACTCTGCATATGTATTGGTAATCGGTGTAGGTTGCAGGCAGTAGACTCTTCCCCCACCTAGAGTGGGACGAGTCTACTACTGTATACTATACCAGATTACCACTTTTCCTCCCTCCTCACCACGTGGCCTCGGCGCACTTTGCGCGTTGAAAAAGAGGAAGAACATGCAGAGATGCCAACTTGTACGATTTTAGGCGTAATTTTTACGATTTGTTTAGTCTGTTTATGACTGTACGATTCAGACTAAGATTTTTACGCTTTCCAAATTGAAGGTGCAAAACCGTACAGTTGTGTACAAAGTCTATGTACATAGTAGCACAGAGCCAGCCTCGTAATGCATGCGTCAGAAATGTGTCGCTGGCATCCCGCAGTTTGTGAGTATAAGCTGCGTGAGTAGTTGTAGAAACCAGCGTGGTTGAATCATCCATTCGCCCCAATTAATGCTATGATAAACGGGGGCGAATAGGCACAATTGCACTTCATATGCAATGAGATTTTGTACGTCCGAGCGTTGCACATGTACATGTACCAATATTGTACATACTTGTGTCGAACATCAGGATCGTGCTGAAGTTGACCGGAGTGTTGGACTGTCAAGGATTTGATTCTTGGATATTTGGTGAGCAACTGGACTTGTTTTGCACAGTGGCAACAAGTGAGCAGAAGTTAGGGACGAACACACCACAAAAATGGGCCTTTATTACAAAGTCTTGTCGTGGAGAAGCTTATGTGTTTTGCAACGCATGTAACTGTGACATGATAAACATTGCCCATGCTGGATCTTACGACACTGAGAAGCACATTAGTTAGGCCAAGAAAAAAATAGCCTTGCTTCCGATTAAATAGGGTCGGTAGGTAAGGATTTTTTGACAATTTTTTTGTACTGATTGAATGGGACGAAAGTTGCCAAAAATTGCCACAAAAGTGATTAAAATGAAAACTTACCAGAATTAATGTGGAAATGTAATCAACAATTAATTACAATTCACACTTGCACAATGCTATTCAGGTAAATACAAGTGTTTTGACATGAAAAGAAGTTTTTGACAGGTGTTTGTTTTTCCATTTTTCAGAAACTTTTTAAAAGTTTTTTTCTTATTTGCCAATGAAAATTGTTGGTAAAGTTTTTTATTCTCTAATTTGCAAAGGAAAATTGTTGGGGTCACGCCGAAAAATTGGGGTCAGTCGGGAAACCAGAACTGTAAGTGTGATGCGATTACACTTTTTCATATTGAAAAGTTGGCATCTCTGAACATGGCACCTGCCTCTGTGGGAGTCAAGTGAGTGAGGGCTCACTACTGGTGATCGAGAATTTAGCGAATGGAAGTAATGAACTAGGAAATAATGCATATGTATTGGTAATCTGATAGGTATGAGTAGTAGATTTGTCCCACTCTAAGTGGGAGGGAGGAGAATTTGCCTTTTCATGAAACTGCTAAAATTCATGCAACTTTTGTGAAAATGCCAGCTATTTTGCTGTAGCACGTGCCAGGAGAAAAATTTATACATTTGTATATATTTCCGGCGTCAAATTCACCTCTTTGTGAAAACGGTAAAATAATTTTGCCCATGGGCTTTGCCCTTTATTGTTAATGCTATATCTATGGAAGACAAATTAGCCTCTTTGTGAAAATGCAAAATGCAGTTTAGTTGAAATTTGCCCAAGTAGATAACCATGATTTGGCCGATTTCAGTAGATTTGGTTACACCAAGTTGTAGGCATTGCATAGCCTATTTAATTTTGCAAAAAACCCTGAAATTTGAAAAGGTCATGATTTTCAGCCAAAGTGTCTCTTCGTGAAACGGTGACGATGTGATACATGCCAATGTGGTGCCTCTTAGAAAACCACAATCTCTTTGCTACTCAAAGTCGCTTCAGACGGGTTTTACATGTATGCAGTTAAACACAACTTGATAAATCAGTGAAGTGAAAAGTAAAGTTCAAGGACCCCCGGTATATTTTTTTTATTCTTTAATATTTCATAATCTTCTGAAGATTTCACTTTTTTCCAATCGAGATATTGAATTTTGGAAATAAACTCTTCCGTTCAACCTTTTCCACTTGGTTGCATTTCCAGATCACACCTACATCTGCGACGCCGAACCTCCAGAGTGTGCCCCAGGCCTGATGTTGACGGAGAGGGCAGAGGGGGGTGAAGGCACTTGCTACTACGTCTGCCGGTCCAAGTGTAAACTGGACACCACCTACTGCGGTGATGGGACCTGTCGCCAAGAACAAGGCAGCAAGGATATTTCATGCAGGTATCAAGGAGACTCGCTTGTCCTCAAATTAGCCCTCCATCAGTAGGCCTACCCCAAGACTGTGCTCATTTTCGGTCAATGGTCTTAGCACATGAGTGTCTAGTAGCGACTGACGTTGCAGTGTTGTACATCCACCTCGGTATCAATTTACTGTGTTCTTTGAGATTAAATAAGCTGTTACTTCTGCCATTGTTACTCCTATTAAGATTTCTGTTGTTAGGTTCTTTGAAGGGTTGAAGTTTAGTAGAGTCAGTCAAGATTCTCCCCCCCCCCGTCTATATATGTTTATTTAGAAATTTTCCATGGTTTTCATGTGCAATTCACAAACACAATTTTTGCGCATGTGGGGGTTTGTGGACTAGGGAGGACTTAGATGGTTGTTGACTTATCAAGTCATGAGAATCTGATCTTTTGAATTCAAGGATTTAATTCAATGAGGAAGCTTTGAAACAAAGATGTTTTAAATTGGCAAAATTGCTGGATATCCCAGTTGCAAGAGGACCAAATCTGTATGCTGAAAATTACAAGCTGCACGATCCCACTTCCACGTTAACTTTCAGAGTGTGACCGAAATAGTGAGTTGTAATATTAGCTATCTTTCCTTTTTTTTCTTTCCAGCTGTCCCCAGTCCTCGGCGGTGATGTACAGCGGTGCAAAGTGCCAGAACCAAGTTCAGCTGACGTGGCTGTACGTTGGCGTCAGCGTGGGAGTGGTTTCAATCCTGGTTCTGATAGTCGTCTTGAGCGTGTGCTTGTGGCGATCCAAGGGGCTGGTGGACAGACTTCAAGAGGAAGATGAAGAGAAGGTGGTATTGGGAAAGTATGTCTCCAAACATGTTGTCTGGTTCTGGTAAAGGCAAGGCGACTGAAAGACAAGATATAATAGACCGACAACGCCAACCAGGTCACATGGCCTATAGTGGATATCAAACACCAATGAAAATGGCATCCTGCTCCTATAGCAACATGTGTTTAAGTTTTACCTAAAGTACAGCCAATGTTCTGAATAGTACTCAGCACAACAGTAGTCTGAGTTTTGCACCAACTGTTGGCTTTAATAGTTTATTCTTGGCAAATGACACTTTTGACACACTTTGATATGATACCCACTATAGGTCACGTGACATAGGGGGCGTAATCAGTCTATCGCTTTTATTTTCAAAGTCATTTTTGTCATCGAAGAGGGAAACCAGGGGCCTTACTTTATAGACCATTAGTTTAGGTCATCGGGCCGCTAGCATCATGATGGCACGCCGAATGGTAGATACATGAAAGGAGGTACTTATTGTTATGTGTCACATGTGTATTTGGATGTTTGGCTCACCCATAACCAGTGTTGGTTATAAAGAACTGTATGTCCAGAGCTTGCCTTGAAAAATCTGGAAGCGTATACTCTGGTTGGACTCAAACCCATGACTTTCTGCATCGTGGTGCGGTGTCATAGTGACTCGACATCCAAGCTTGCCAGGCTGTGGCCTGGTTGAGCCCAGTACAACAGTGGGTACGGCTTTCTTGAAGGACTTTCCTGCAGTTCATGTGTGTGTGGTGTCAAAATACATGTAACTTGTTAGATGTAAGTGGACTGATTGTGACTATTTCTACCTGGGCAAATGGCTGTCAAATTGGAGAAAGTTCAACTGCCGTGTTCATTCTTCAGAGAGCACTCTGTATTGTACTACACTGGACAGCAAAAGAAACTTGCCACTTCTGTCAAAGGCCACACATAAAAATTCACTCCATAGAAATAAACAATTTTTGTACTAATCACATGCCCAAAAGCAAGTGATTATCTTTATAACAAAGAAGAAATTGACATGCACAGCAATTTGGTTACTGAATCAAAAGTCACCCACAAAAGCACTCTCCCCCAAGCAAAAATGACCCATGAATGGACAACCAATGACAAAGTGAACACCTGTTTTGTCAAAGTGATGTGCATGAGTGGTTTCTGTATACGGATGCCATCCTTACTGACTATGCATACACATTATTGAAAAGTAATGATTGTGACTTCTTTATTTCGTCCTGTGACATTGATTCCTGCGTAAAACTTACGGCTCATTCTGTTACATTCTGTGACCTTTGATTCAGTAACCAAGTTGCTGTGCATGTCAATTTCTTCTTTGTTATAAAGATAATCACTCGCTTTTGGGCATGTGATTAGTAGGGGGTATTGCAGCATACCTGTGTACAAAAATTGTGTATTTCTATGGAGTGAATTTTTATGTGTGGCCTTTGACAGAAGTGGCAGGTTTCTTTTGCTGTCCAGTTTATTTGCATAGTTCATCTGATGCCATGCCATCACTGCTTTGGTTGTTACATGTAAAGCTTAATGAGCTTACTTTCAATAATCCATTATACATGGACTAGATCTGATGTTTATCCAATGATGCAGAGCTGCCCTGACCTCCAGGCCGGGGAGGAGGGAAGAAGGGATGTCAAACTTTGTTTTTATTGGTTGTAATGATGTTAAGGTCACAAGTCATCATTTTATTCCATTTGATGACTGAGAAACCTATAACAGACTCAAATGGTACTCTGTGCAACAAAACCACTTCCCTGCAGCAAGCGAATGAGACTCCCCCCCGTCAGTGTTGTAGGTGAGACCATCACAAGACCAGACACTAGTAAGAGTGTGAAAAGTGACAAAGGAATGCTTTTGTTGCAGTTCATTTTAATAGCTTGCAACTTGAATTTCAGACTGGAGGTCTTGTGTTGGTATTGTACGGTCTTACGAAAGTGGTCTCAACTACAACACTGCCCCCGGTTCAAGCTTGCGGCAGAGTAATGCACTTATCATTTGACCGGCATCTCTACCTGATTTGATCAAGGTACATGTAGGCCAAATTGAATGTCGAAAATTTCCCACTTGGAATGGTGCATGAACACTGCTCATGTTTTTTTTTTCTATCGGTAGGCCTATGAGTGACGAGCTGATGAAGGAACTGAACTCTTACTGCAACAATAACAACGGGAGCACCGGGGAGACGTACTTCCACAAACCTCCCTCAGGGGAGTCGACCCGCCCCAGCCTGTACGCGCAGATTTCCCAGGAGCACAAGAGAAACAGAGCGATCAAGAATGGTCAGGCACCTGGGGCTGGCTCGGGGGCCAAGGTCGGTGGCCTCCGGGCTCATCTGTCCCCAGGATCGCCCAAGTACGAGGCCCAGATCAAGCCCAACGATTTTGACGGCAGCCGGTCCCCGAGGGGGGAGCGGCGACCCTGGTACTTCTGGGGGAAGATGTCCCTGCCGAAGAAGAGGGACATCAAGATGATCCCCATGACCAGTGAAACGGGGAGATTCTGAAGAGGAAAGAGAGATTTGTAGAGTCATGTGGTCTTTTGCTCTGAGCAAAACAATTGTTTTGGAAGACATTGGAACTATGTATCGATTTTCCAAATCTCTCCTGAGATATTATCAATGACCAGCATCAAACAATTGAATCTCCCAGTAACTTTGTTCAGGCATTATGTATTTTGTCTTTAGCAGTCTACACTAAAACCGAACATATCGGGCTGTAAACCGAATGAAAACCTTAATGCTAAAGGTTACCGAAGGAACTCAGTTCTAAAATGATACAAAACGCCCCCAAAATCCTAATAAAAATGTTGTAGTATGTCTTAGCTTGGCATTTGAATCGTAAGAATCGTGGCTATGTACCACCTGCAACTACGATCATCTGATCCAGTTATTACCCTTTGTATTACCGCTTGTATTATCATTTATCGCTTTACGCATGTATCAGCATAGTAGTCGAAAGGTGCACCGTGAATATATAAGCATTGCAGTAGTTCCTATGCATGTACTCATTAATATTTAAACAGTTTTGTAATTAATTTATGCTCTGCATGAAAACGTGCATTCAGCAGATTTGGTGTTAATTGAATAAGTGCATTTTTATTCAAACTGTCACGTCTTCTTTTTAATCAGTAAGAATTTTAAGGTTTGCATCGTGGGTATACACAAGACAAGTGGTTTGCTGTAACGCCATGCACCTTATGAACTGTCTCTTTTTGAGTATGTGTGGCTCAGAAAGGGTCCGGTTAACTTAATGCTTTTTAACAGTGTAGTCAGGAGACTGCTTGGTTCCTACCAGAGTAATGTATATGTGGGTCGTGGTGCTTGTTGATGTGTGAAGACTGCATCCAAGCTGTAGTGCTATCATAGTATCGATCAAGTTATAATATTCCTGGAAATTACGATGTCTTTGGAAAATTACCATGTCTATGTGGAGTATGTGTACATTTGAAATCAAATGGCAGAGAAAGTTCAGTGTACAGTCGAACTTCATTAATATGAGCACTGTTAATATAAGATTCTACTCAAGACAAGGTAATTGTTAGGTCCCAATCTTTTTCCATCGTTTTTATTCCTGATAATGCAAGGTTCCTGTTATAACAAAGTAATTTGCCAAGTCCAAAGAACCTCTCATTAACAAGGTTCGACTGTACTCGTAAAATGTCTGTAGGCTTGTGGACCTCAAACTAAGCCCTTCTTACCTGAAATAAAATGGTTAACCATGATATCTTCATCCGTCAATTAGAACATTATGGCATGCCAGAATACTTTAGTGGCAGAAGCAAAACTTGTTTTGTGTAATTCCATAAAATCTACAGAATTGCCTGTAGAGGTTTTTCACGGAATGTAACATGACGGGCAAAAGCATTTCAGGAGGCGCACCATTTCCATGTCCATTTTCGAATCTGTGTGTTTCTGTTGGTAATTTCATGCATGTAAGAAAGTTGAGACACTTTCAAGGCATACATGTTTTCGGCAACATCTGTGTAAATTGAACGCTGACCGTCAAAAATCATGTGACCGAAAATCCTCTTATTTGTGATGTGGTGCCCACAGGGCTCTGTATTGGGTCCCATGTTATTTTTATTGTACATTAATGGCATTCGCGATGCTTCAGAGCTTATCACACTTTGCTTATTTGCAGATGACGCAAGCTTATTATATTATAACAAAACTGTGGACTTAGCGGTTCAGAGCCTCAGCACTGAGCTTCTGAAAGTCACTACTTGGCTATTGGCCAATAAATTATACATAAATGTACTTGAATCAAATCATATATTATTTTGCACTAGCCAGTTCAAACATACTCAGTCTTTACACGTTATTTTAAATGATACTATTCCTGATTGTGTAAAGGACACCAAGTTTTAGGGAATACAAATTGATGAGAATCTAACTTTGAAGAAAGATATGTGACCTGTCACCACAAAATGAGCTGAAAGTCGGAATGTTCAAAAATTGAGATATTGGCATTTTTGAATTTGGCAGAAAGAGAGCTCTCCAGTAATATGTACACGGAACACTTAGGGTAGAAGTATAAGGTGACAATGTGACATGATTCTGGCAGCTTTGTTTCTTTGTTTCAGACATTGAAAATGACACTGATCATGCAAAATATTTGGAATTAAATTGGAGAAAGGTTACTCTTTCCAAATATTACAAAACACCAAACTTGACCTCCACTTCAATATCTGACTTTGAACCCTCAAAACAGGAAAGAGCGGGATGCGACTCGACTCATTTTGTCGTGCCAGGACACATATTTGTCTAAAATATTTTCTACCTAATAGCATGTTACTCTCATTTTATTGTACTTGAATATGTCAATTCTAACTTGGGGTAGTCTGACTCCCAACGCAATAGACTGTCTACTCTCCAGAAATAAGTAGTTAGGGTCTTTGCCAAAACTGGACCAAAATTGCTAATTTCAAACCACTAAATTCACTGACTTGTATTATCTCAACTTGGGCATATTTATGCATCATTATATGACTCATGCACTACCCTGCGTGTTTCAATCTGTTTTACATTAACTTCAAATAATTCATTCCTATTATACATGCAGTACTATTGGTAACGCACTTTTGTTACCTATAGACCGATTGCGCCCGCTATAGTCACGTGACCTATACTGGGTGTTAAATATCAACAAGCACGGCATCTACCAAACTCAAAGTGTGTTATAAGTATCGTTTGGCAAAAATAAAGCCGACGGTAGGTACTGCACTCAGAATTAAACCATTGTAATAGGAATAATAACGGTCTCGAACCTCCATGTGCTTTGTCTTCATGTATGTCTTTGTCCGTCTGTCCATATGCTAGAGAACAAAAGCTGTTACTTCACTCTGGACCTAGATGTTGCTACATGTATTTGGCTAACATTGAACTTTATATTGACTGGTAATATATCTATATACATGTTATGTCATTGGGATTGTATCATTGTGTCACCCTTGATAAACTATGGCAGCATTGAAATAAATGTGTGTAAACCGCCCCCCCCCAAAAAAAAAACCTCTCAGTGAACACTCTGTGGAATCTGGAAATGTTGACCACTGATCATTCAATTATGCTACGTCCAGTCAATGGGAACTTCAGTGGGCGCACTGTGAAAATCCTTCCACACAGGAATGTGGGAGAAGTCTGCTATTTAATACCTACCCTGAACAGTTACTAAATGTATGTCAGTCACTTTACGTATGATTCTATTCGCTAAAAACTTGATCAACTGAAATGCGCCCTCTAGTCCCATGATGCATAGCGGAGCGGCCACCATGTTCTTCCTTGTATTAAACTGTCCGAGCCAAATGTAGGGATGTGTGGGAGGGAGGTGACTGTTTGGGGTAGGTATTCAATAGCAGACCTCTCCCACACTCCTGTGGGGGAGAAGTCTTCTGCTTTCCATCTACCCCAAACAGTTACTAAATATGCAGAGAAGCAAAGATCCCCAGGAGGGGGCAGTGATGAGGTCGCGCTTTGTCCAGAATGTGTGTTAGAGGAGGATGTAACCCTCAGGTACTGTAGTGCAGACTCACTATGAAACTGTTCGGTAGTTCCAGTGGTGGTCCCGCCCTGCTGAAAAGCCCTTCTGCGATGACATGACCATTGTCAAGACTGCTCTTCCATGTGAGGAGTCTCTCTCTAAGACATTGGTGAGGCAGCATGTGGTGAATGTTAATGAGGTCTTCCAACATGCCGCCTTGCATATCTCTTCCATTAGAGTGCCTCGGAAATAGGCCCATGAGGTTGAGACTGCCCAGATGTTATGAACTCTGATAAGGAGTTGAGTCTGATTGTCCAGGGAATTTGGCCATCTGGGTTGGCAAATTTAATGGCTAAAACTGCCCACCTGGCTAGTGTCTCTGGTCGCCGCTTGATATGACTTTGTTGCAATAAAGAGCTGCGATATTGTACCTCTGAGCTTTCTAGTCCTAGCTAGGTACCATTTAAGAGTTCGAACTGGCCACCAAAGCTTGTCATCTAGAGTCCCAGTGTGTTTAGTAATGTCCGGCACAAAAATATCAGGAGGATGGAAGGACAGCGACTGATACTTGGTGAGGAATCCCAGGGCTTGGGATTAGGTGAACACCATGGGGTTCCCATCAGATGTGGCCATCAGCAGTGGATAACGCTTTTAGTTCGCTGCCTTGGCGTGAGGTAGTAACTGCTAGCAAAAATGCAAGTTCCACTATCAAGTTAAGTAGCGACGCTTCGCTGAGAGGTTTGAAGGGGGGACCTGCACGCAGATGAACCAAGGCTGGCACTACTCCCGTTCGATCTTGGATAATACTACTGGCACCAGGGATATTGGGGGAAGGCGGAGGCCAACATCCCTTCCCAGCTGATCTGAAGAGCATTTGTTGCCCAAGCCTGCGGATGGTAGTATCTGGTGCAGAACACCAGCAGCTGGGCTTTCTCCGCCAAAGTAAACAGTTCAATGATCGGTCTTCCCATCTTGTTGAAGACCTGTTGGACCGCGCCAGTGCAAAGAGTCAACTTCGTTGGGTGGATGTTCCCACGGGAGAGGGCATCTGCAATTGAGTTGTCGACGCCTGGTATGTGGGTCGCCAGAAGATCGATGTGATCCCAAACCCACAGGAACATGTCATCAGGAGGCAGAGCCGAGGAGAACACGTGCCCCCTGACAATTGATGTACAATACCACTGTGGAGTTGTCTGAGCATATGAGGATGCATTTGCCTAGAATGCTCAAGCGGAAGGATTTCAGAGCGTTAAATGCTGCCTTGAGTTCCAAGACATTGATGTGACTCCCTCAGAACTGAAGCAAAGAAGGGAGGCTCCCCAGCCAAGGCTCAAAGCCTCCATTGTTATGATTGCTTCTGGCTCCGCTTTGGTGAAGGGAATTCTGGAAGAAAGGTGGCTCTTCACCAGCCACTACTGGAGAAGGGGATGAAGTCAGTTATGGGAACAAGGAGGTTGATGGAGTCCCATTTTGGTCTGTAGAAGCCTAGTAGATGAAGCTGTAACGGGTGCATGTACAGCCAGCAGAGAGGAATTAAGTTCACAATACTGGCACAATCAGTCCGAGAAGGTGGAGCCAAGTGCTTGGAAGAGAGGACCTTCATGCAATCCAGAAGATTGCTGATGCGATCATTCGTCGGTGAAACTATGCCCTGTTGGAGGTCGATGACCCCTCCTAGGTAAGTCGGACATCAGGTGGGAATGGGCTTGGGATTTGAGACAATGATGAAGCCCATTTAAGCGGCTTACGACGTCACAGGTAAGATGAGTGGAGGACACTGTCTTGTCAAATGATCTGTTAATGATGAACCAGTCATCAAGATATTGGAATAGCATGTAATCCCCCTTTCAGAGATGAGTGGCGACGATCTTTACAACCCTCATGAACACTCTCACAGAAGTGGAGAGGCCAAAGGGAAGAGCTGTGAACTCGAACAGGTTCCCATCGTACAGGATGGGTGTATTGGGACATAAAGATATGGCTCCTTCAGGTCTATAGAAGAGGCCCAACAAAGAATTGGAAGAGACTGGAAAACTGTCCGTAGCTTCTCCATACGGAATTTCTTGGGCTGAATGAACCTGTTCAGAGGCTTAAGGTTGATAACGGGTCTCCAAGTGTTTGGTTCTTTCTTTGGAGTGAGAAAGAACATGGCAATGAAGCCCTTGTTCATCTCAGACTTAAACACAGGGCAATGGCTTGCTTTTGGAGGAGAGAATCTATTTCGGACTCCAGTGCCTCTCGCTTGTTTCTGTCATAAGAACTGGAGTTGGACGGATAGTAGCACAGACAGAGAGGTACTTGTGAACTAGAGGCAATATCTGTAGTGGATGGTAACAAGCACCCAGCTGTCTGAGGTGACTTTCCCCCAGAACCCTGCAAAACGTTGCAGTTGCCCCCAACGGGTCCAGGATCGGAAGGCGGAACTGAATCTGCATAGTCAGAGGGGCCTAACCCGAATGAAGGGGGTAGCACAGACCGGAAGATCTTCCCCTAAAACTCTTCTGAGATGACTCCGAGGACTGAGAAGAGGAAGTACAGCCACAGCTCATCTGCAGGCTGGGTGGACAAAAGGGCTGAGATGAGCTGGAGTCGCCTTGATGCCGAGGTCTGAAGGGTTGAGCTCAGCAACCATCAGGGCGGGATTGGCAGGGAAGGGCTGGTCTCAGAGGTTTGCAGAAACTAAGCTTGTTGGTTGCGTCAATCTACTTTCAGCCTTCATCATTTCCATGAATTTTCCAGCAAAGAGGTCCTTGCCGTAGAGAGGAAGCCCCTGAAATTTTGACTTGACTCCCTCACAGGGGATATTCATGGCATCCATGTTGGATCTACGTGCAGAAGTGGCCAAGATGGAGATCCGAATGACCTGCTCGAAGATAGAATTGACACTCTCATCGAGCGCTTGAAGAGCCACAGCCGCTCGGTCCAAAGTCACTGGCGAGTTCTCCTCACAAGCATGGGCTAGGTACTTGGAGAGGAGAACCAGAAAGGCAGTACAGTGAAGGCCATGGCGTGAAGCTTTGTCGAGCCTGGCAAGGGTAGTTTTGAAGGTAGACGTGTCCTTGTCTTTGAAAGGGATCTTCCCCATAGACCTCTTAGCATGAGAGACAGCTTATCTTTAGCAGCTGTATGGATCTCAGGGACGGAGAGAAAGTTCTCATAGTCGTCCTTTGAGAGCTGGAAATAAGATGCTGACCTGGTCGGGAACGGGTGCCAATGTTTCGTGCTTAAACATCTCAACGCAACACAACGGTCTAGAGGGAGCTACAGGAAGAGCGGTATCGATGTCTCCAGTCTAGCAAGGTAGCTCTTGAAGGAGGCGTGTGATGGGGCCTCAGCCCCGGAAACGTTAGCAGGGAGGCCCAAGATCTGGATCATATCCTTCTGCAGGAGGAGACGTGCCCCTGAAGGAGTTATGTTGGCTGTGGAGGTATATATCTTCGTCGTTGGAGGACAAATCACGATCTGCTTGAGCAGGAAGGGACATGTCATCTGTTGTGCCATGGCCCTGAGTTTGGGCCCGGTGTGAACCGTAGATGGAACCCCAGCCTGGATAGATTGAAGGTTGAAAACCATCATGCAAGGGTTGGACTGATTGAGTCTGATGTGGAGTTGGATGCTGATTCAGGTAGAGTTCTGCAGGCAGAGGATCTGGATCCAGAGCAGTTGCCGAGGGTGTGGCATTCAACTCAAGGCAGCCGACAATTGTAGACAGCGTTTCCGAGAGGGAGTGGACTGCGAGACTTCTTGTGTTTGGACTCCGTAGACAACGAGCAGTGTTTACGCTTCTTGTAAACAGGTGGCGGTAGAACCCGTGGGTAGAGTCTGAAGAGCCGGAGCATTAGGAGCCCGTCTCGATTGCAGATGGCACTCGGCGGATATAGGGGCTGGGGAGTCACCAGGGAAGTGGCCTCAGGAGCGCTCTGGCCATAGAGACTCGGCAGGTAGCTGGAAGACTGGGCGATGTATGATGTATGGAGTTCGGAAGCTGTGATGGCGTAGGAGGCCGGTGGGCTCCGCTGCCCAGGACGCAGGCGGGGATGAGCCTGCCTAGCTCAGTGCTGTCACTGTTGGGGCTGCCCCAGGAGATGACAAGGCGTCGGCCCGAGGCAGAGTAATGTCCAAATCACACCCACAAGTGCCTCAATGGACATCTAAGGGCAGCGGTTCATGGCATGAAGCGGTCAGTGCTGTTGGCATGGGATAGTTGGGGCCATCCCTGCACGTGGTCTTGCAAGCCATACCACTGGGTCGCTGTCGTCTACAGTAGAAACCACCGTTGGACCTCAGTGCTTGGGAGCTGGACGTGGAAATGGAAGCGCCGCCCAGACCCAGCTGGTGGGGGAAAAAATTCGCAGAGGGCAGCGCCAATCTGCACTACCACTAACTGTGATGCGATGTGGTAGTGAACGGAACTGGGCATTCGGATACCGCCCTCTCTATAGCTCAGACCTTGAAGTGTGGTTAACCCTGGACTGGACAGGGAATGGTTCTGCCAGCAGGTGTTAGCATGGAATCTCAAGTATAGCGTGCAATGCCACTTGATCATCCGCAGACCGACTCCTGTTGGTTTATAGGGGAGAATAGGGCCGTGGAACAAACGACGCATTACCTCGCGTGTCCTAAGAGCTCCAGGGTCCCCCCTGTTGACCCGATGTATCTATAATCGACTCGTTATTTCAAAATTTGCAGGACCTAGCAGAAACATTTGTTGTATTCAAAATTCGTTGTAGGAGGAACGCAATGCAATGTCTTCGGTGCACTGCATGAATAGATTCCATTGTGTACAAACATCATGCACTGTACATGTACATGCACACATGTGAAAGTGGTTGATGTTGACGATATCAAAAAGATCTCTCGGTTATGATTAATTGAAATATATTGTGATAATAAACTTCACTGTCATATGACATGTTTAATGTACATGTACATGTGAGATTAAAAGCAAAAACATGTGAAAGTATCAATCCACAGAGTTTATAGACTTTCGATCGCCATGAATGACAACGAAGATAACTTAACGGCACGCACACGTACGCCTGTGTGTACCTTCAAAAATGTGAAAATTCATCAAGTGGAGCCCCCCTTTCCATGAAAGTAGTCTTTCCAACACAAATTGTGTCATGGAGAGATATTTTTATATAATTTTCCGTCTGTCTTTTGATGGTCGGCACTACCTGCATGACCAAGATTGATCGACACCCGCGACAAGACGGTCGCCAAAGAAGCATATCATGAGGGAATATTGTGATTGGATAGCCGCCTTGCAAAATGTACGTCATGAAAGTGTACAATCTCTTTGGCGGGTGCGCTAGATTTTTTAGTAGCAATATGAATAATTCAATGTTGGGCAATTAGTTGAGCTCTTGAAAAGCGAGAATCAAGCAAACTTATTTGGGTTGTATTTTTATCAGAATTGGGAGGGGATTTTTTGTTTTGGCGTTTGTGTAATCAGTGTAAAAAATCATTGATTTTAAAACCATGCACTACGCTTGTCAGGACAACAGAAAACTGGTTTACAATGTCTGTATATTGCAGCAGGAAATTTTGTTGAAACAAGCGAGTACAAGCAGTATCACTTTAAATTAAATTCATTAACACAGAAAATATAAACAGAGACTTGAGATTAATGTCTGTGAATGAACCTGCAGAAATTTGGTAATGGCGATGGTTTTCTTTTTCGACTTGCGACTGTAGAGCTGCAACATACAATGCTTTTTTTAGCTGGAATATGTACATCGACTGGTTGCCGCATTTCAGTGCCTTCTTTGGCAAAGGTTTGGCCCGGCGGGAACCAGTGTGGTGCCTTGTGCACCTCTTTTTACCGCAGCGATTCGTAAAAGCTCATTACAAATGGGTCGGCAACAATGGTTTTCCAGGCAAAGAAGTCACAAAAACCTTTCGTTGTAACAGGAATTTTGTACAATATGATTTTGTTTTAACAGATTTTCTCCCCATAGAAATGTGCACATTTTCGCCAGGACCACAGATGTGTGTTTGCTGTAACCGGAATTTCATTATAGCCATTTTCATAATAATGAGTCAACAGTACTACACAGGTGGGAGACCGCCACACTACCTCACGGAACCCCCACGATCCCAGGTCATCCCATTGACCCTTTGTAGAATACTCAGTATTAGAATAGTGTAGTCATTGTGAAGCCTGTAAAAATGCACACACAGAAAGAGGAAGAAAATGCCACAAAATCAACAAATACACACAATCATGAAAAACAAGGAATGAACGTTTACTACGATACGCTACGGTTGATCAAATTAACACAGGAACGTGTAGCGATACGGAAAACTCGAGAATTCGAAGACGCCAAAATCGACACGTCCGTTTGGAATCACGCTAGGAAAAGATAGAACATGGCGGCCGCTCCGCTATACATCATAGGACCAGAGGGCGCACTACGGTTGATCAAGTTTTTTGTGAACGGAATCATACACAAAGGAAAATAGCATATTTAGTGACTGTTTGGGGTAAGTTGAAAAACAAAAGACCAAGTTAATAAGACTGGATCTCCTCTTGCCACAAAGTGGTTACGGCAGGGCTGAACAATCTGCTTCCTAGAGAAAAAAAAATGTGCAGCTTTTAAAATCAAGTTTAAATGCCATAAATATTAAAAGCAAGGGAAACTCCATGTTGATTTTAAATATGTTGAATACAGCTCTTCCTAAGATTTTGTTTTCCTTTGGGCAATTAAACATCTCAAAATCAAATTAAGATCGCTGCTGCCAAGACGAGGAAAAATGAAAACGGTTTTGGGACTGCCAGGTGTACAGGGCATGCTGTTGCATTTTTATTTCTACATACTGTAAATACGGGGCTTCAAAATCTCAAACACCAAAATACGCATCTAAAGGTAACTTGCAGCTTTTTTAAAAAAAAGAAAACACTAAATGGGATGACATGTACACACCGTGATGAATGTTTTTCAATAACTTAAAAAGACGTTAAACTTACGAAATGACTGGTGGGAAATGTCACTTTTTTGTCCCAAACCTGCAATATCGAAACTGTTTTACGACTTCCAAAGAATCATCTTAGGCTGCATGGCTATGCACTAAGATTGAGAGTACTGGGAGGTTTAAAGGAAGGAAAATTGTTGATCCACTATTCAACAGCAAACGGTTTGCAGATTTGGGACGGTTGGGTTTAAAAACAAATGCACCACAATTACAGACATGGTCAGAACTGCAGAAAAGCTGAAAGTTAAGGAAAAAGAAAAAAAAATCGTAAGTACCCACGCAAAAATCTGTTTTTTAATGACAGCTGCATAAGTATCAACTTGCAGGTCATATAGAAGGATTGTTGGGAGAAAAATCACTTAAAGCCTGTCTGAACACTGTTAAAAATGCACTTTTTAAAAACTTTCTAGTACCACTGCAGCAGAAAAGGAAGACCCAAAAAACCTGAACTGACATTTATGAACAGGACACTTTTGCTGTCACAATTTCACTGTGAGCCATTCAGACATGTATCACTTTAAGCTACCCCCCCTTTCAAACACAATGTGTACATCATGAGCATCAGAATTTCTGCAGGGTAAGTAAATGGAAAACCCCAAAAGTGCATCGTCATCCTCTATACAAAAGGTGCCTTCTACAGCTCTAGCCCCAAAGAGCTGAGAAGTCCGATTACCAGCATCGCTCAATACCAGTCCCGACCATGTCTGACGATGTTATGGCTGTGACTCGTTCCAAAAGGGAGTAAAATGCAAGCTACATGTACAAGTATTCGGAAAGGTGTCGCTCCTGCGACGACCAAAATCACACAGGTAAAATTCACCTCATGTAATGAGTGGCTGAGACAGAAAATTTGAATATTAAAAATGAATCACTTAAAAAATGTTTTACAAGTTAAAACGGAATACTTCAGCTTTGATAACAATGCATACAAGCACTGACTAAAAAGAACTAAAACAATCAGATGCTTCGTCAACATCGTTAATGCGCAATATTAAAAAAAAATGCTGTCATGATATACACTTGCTGTTCTTTACACTGGAGTTAAATCCTTTCATATAGTCAACTCATCTACAGCAAAAGGAAAAACTGCATATCTATATTCATTAAAAGTAAAAAAAAAGCTACAAATCAGACAGCAAAATACAACAACTTCAACGACACACTACAGAGATGGAAGTTATGACACACCAATGAAAAAAAAAAAAATTAAAAACCGAGATTACGGTGGGAAAGAGCCAGCCGTAGCATTGTGCTAGATACTTTTGACTTGTTTTTTTTCCCCTCTTCTTCTGCATTCAAAGCCTAACAATAAAAGTGAGCACAATGTGTGACTCATTTCACTCTGCTGGGGATGGCCAAGACAAGAAATACACCAATGCTGATCAGTGAATTTCTAGCGGAACAACTATTACTTTGACAACATTTGGTTCAAGTTGACATCGCTATCCAAAACAGCACTTTGCAGATGAACGGTAACATGTACATGGAGACAGCTCTTTCAAACTGCTAGGAAATGCAAAAGGAGATCCAACTTTTAGCTATAAAAAAAAGTATCGTACCGAGCAGCAAGTTTGTACAGCTTTTTACAAAAAAGTTTGTATAAACTGAAAATAAAGCAATCCGGTATAACCCTTTCCTCTCTTTTAAGTACTGTATGAATGAATTAGCTGTGAGTAAAGGGCGATAAAACATGTCGAGTAAAAAAAATGGTGCTTGTAGGAAATTTTAGTCCTGAAAAGCCGTCCTTTTTAAAAAACCTCCCCTACTGTATGAGAGAGTTGGAGTTGCATGCAATGTTTAACAGTCCAATGTTACATACACAGTGAAATTTAGACTAAACACCACAGGACACGTGGACCCACCATCACCAAAACTTGACAGTAACACATCCAGTGCTTGGCATAGCTTTTGCGTCCTGCAACACATTCAAGTGCTGTAAGAGCAAGGCCAGACCAACAGGTGTTTAGACAATTTCCTGTGGCCGTCTTCTTCGTAACACTTGGAGCCGCTGTGATTCAACGCGTTGCACTCACAGTGGCTTCAGAAAACAAATACAATAATCATTCAGTTCTATCTTTACAATTTGGAAGCTAGCCTCTGATCAGAGAGTACTTGTACACTATTCTTAAAAAAAACACACAAACATAACATTTAGATCATCAAAGAGGTACTTGCACCTGTTAACCCCTACATTAGTTGAGATTAGTACACAAGATCTGAAGATTAAAAAAGAAATGACATTTAATTAAAAAGCATTAATCCCTTTAAACTAACACCTCAAAGAATTTGGTTAATGATTTCATTGCCGTGTTTGGGGTTTTAAAAATGGGGAAGAAATATGCGACATATTTACAAGCTGAAAACCTTTGCTCCGCAACTAAGTTTTTCACAGCTGTATTCCAAACACTAATTCTATATTCATTTCACAACTGCTCCACAACAGCAACAAGGGTGCCCAACACGCTGTATGTGGTTACAAAACAGCATCTTCAAAGTTGACTTTTTTTCCCAGTTTTCTGCCATATTTTAAACTTCACCAAATTTATAATGGCCTTCTTGTCCTCCACTGTGTTCCTCCAGCAGACTTATTCCATTTTTTTCAATAGTACTGCGTGCCTGTACAGAATCTCCTTAAAGTGCCTAACCTGTCCAGAAACTGACCTGACTTGTTTGACACCACAACTAGTACTTTACTTGAAGCCGAAAGTCTTTTTAATATGTATTTCCGCCAGGTATTTCACTGCAGGAGCGTCTTCTGCTTTTTCCAACAATCCAAACCGCCACTCTGACAATCCCACCGTGAGGAAATCTCCCTGGGTGTGTTAATTTGTCTAATCCCCTACTGTACAGATATTCTGTGGCGGAGTCATGTTTCTTTGTATCTCTGCTGCACTCTGTGCTCCAGGAACTGTCTGAAAGAAGTAGTACTTGGTTCGTGCATATAAAAATTACGTAACTGAACTCTTTGTGCACTCTGCTTTGGCATTATGTTCTCTGCACGAAATCTTTTCTTTAGTATGCTGCATTCACAACAAAACTTTTTGAGGCAGCACTAGTGCAGTTGTTTCCAGCACAATGTGATGCAAAAAGGTTTTTTAGTATAGTACAACTCAAAGCCTTTGTAGACCTAACTATCCTTGCAGCAATTGGCTGATTTCCAACATGTGACTATCACACTTGGCCCTGATTGGTTCACTAACAAAAGATGATTACTGTTCTGTTGCCTGCCAATCTTGAGAACTCTTTGGGTCTTTTCAATGTTTTCCAAAGGCCCAAAAGTAAAGATAAAAGAGGCAATTTCAAAAATGCGCAGATTTCTTCATGAGGATTATTCATGCACAAGAAAATATCATACCATTTAAATACCAACTATTGGAAGCAATATACAGTTTTTAAGTAGCACTGAAAATGCACATTTTGGGGGAAGAAACAAGACCACAAGAAAGCACGACTTCATTGGAATTTAACTCACAATGTACTGTAAACAATGGTTTTCAATTACAATGATTCTAGTACTGAAATCCTACATGAAGGTTCCCCTGGGTAAAACAATGAAGACAAAGTCTGCCAGCTGATCAGTAGTCATTTTCAAGTCTAAGCATTGAACCATCTGGCACCCCTTTGCTCCCCTCCTCCCAAAATAAAGGGCCAAACTGTGCGATTACAGTGGTGGAAACAAATGCACAGTTATGAGCTGTCAATTCCGGCATTTTCAGTCACTTCATTCTTAACAGCGAGATTAAATTGTTCAACAGAGCTGTGATACAGATGTAGGCTCTGGTGACCCCCCCCCTGACTTTTTCAATGAACACCCTCATCTGGCTCACAGGTCTGTGTCAAAGAAGGCCAGTCCACTGCTGTCTGTAGGGGGGAGTGTGTCCAGATTTAGGTCCCCCGAGGGTGGACCCAGGTTGGCCAATGTGGGGTCCATGCCGTAGTCCGTGTGGGACCCCAGATCCAACTCTTGCATCATGGGCTCCAGCGACATTGGCTCGTTGTAGTTACCTGATGAAGGGCAAATTAAAAAAAAAAAAGATTTTAGTTCAGTGATTGACGCAATCAAAATTTGAATGAGTGCCAGGATCAGAGAGTGAACACTCACGAGAAAAAAGCTGAAAATAGCAAATATCAAAGTGAACTAAAGTGAACTCTGTTCTTTTGGCATTTATTCATGCAATTTGTGCTTAAATGTTTTTTCATGTGTTCTTAAAAAGCTTTCCGTTTTGGATATCGAAAAAACGAAGAGGTCCTTAACCACTTGCTGCCGGGATTCCGGTTTTTGGCACGTATTCTTTTTACGCATAGCAAGGGTCTCCAAAATCGGACAAAGGGAACTGGGCTTTGTAACAAAAGACCATACTTGTAACAAAAGACCAGACTGTTGGGAATTGCCAACATTTTTTCACTCTCAATAGTGGAGATAATCCAGCCTTGTTTTGAAACAGTATACCACAGTTTGGGGCATTTAGAGCAAGCAGATTACCATCGGGGACAAAAGCGCTCCAACACTGCAGAGATGAGCCACACAGCACTGCTGCATGCTAATCTGGCCCCTATTGAAAAGAGGTCAGCAGTGCACTGAGCCAGGTCTGTGAACAAGACAGTTATACAACACCGCACAATCTGGGCTCTATTTACAAGGCAGCAGGCCTGGCTGAAATACTCCAGCGTCAACAGATGTTGTCTGTCAGATTAGAGTAGAAACCAGACAGTCCTTTGTGTGGGTCTAAGTGTCCAGTAAACGAAGATATGAATTTTTAAAGAATTTTGAAAACAGAAAAAAATGGAAATTATCCCGTCCGAGCATCATCAACATTCATAAATGCCCCCGGCGCGATGTGGTTGATGATGTCTTTGCAATCAGCTGGACACCTGACCAATTATGACAGGGACAATCCATTAACTGTTAACATGGACTCACCCACTGAAATATAAACCAACTGTTTGAATCTAACGTTACAGCAACAGAGCAGGAATTGGGGGAGGGGTGGAGGGAAAGGGGAGGGGCCACCTGACAAAGCGGTAAGGGCCTGACCTTGCATGTGCATGGCTCCACCTTGCTGCTGTTGCTGCGGGGGCTGCTGGTGTCTGTAGTCGCTGTGCAGGCTGCTGGCGCTGGTGTGATGGGAGAAGTCTTGCTGCATTACGGACGGATCGGGCATGTCCATGGGCTGCAAGAGAAAAAAAAGCTCGCTGTTATTGGATACAAGAAATGACACGGTTTCCCCTACACCACAGACTTAATTATCTTGTCTCACTTAACCCTCCTTTGGTTTTACAGCACAAATATGCATGAGTGCCCGCAGTCACTCTTGTGCGTGTATTTTCTACATGGAACACAAACATGCATAGGTTCACACTGTGTACACGGTTGCTAGCACAAAATGACCCAAGGTCTTTTGTGCAGTCCTCTTCACTGCATTTGGATTACCGCACAATTATGCCAATGAAACAGTGAAGCACAGTTGTTGGGCAGCACAAAAGTGCAATCTGGTATTCCTGTGAGGGACAGTTGGTGCAGTGCACAACACAACACAGCTGTGCTTCTTTGAGGTGTTTACCAAGTGACCCAAAGAGCGACTTCCGCATAGGAGGGTTAACACCCGTAACACAAGCAACATTCAGGCCTCAGAACTTCCAAGTACAGGAAATATGCACATCATGTAGCCACAAAAGTCAATGAAACCAGACTGTGGCAAATTACACTCTAATTCTTAGAAGCAGCGCTCATCAAAGTTTTCACTGAAATGCAAAAATAAATTGACTACAGAAGAATATGAACCAACAGCCAACAGAACACTGTACAGGGGCAAATGTAAAATCCTGAGCAGAATTAAAACACCTGTTGGTATCCCTACTAGGTCCATCAGAAAGCGAACTGCAGACACCATTACAGAATTGACTTGATATGCACGAGGTACTACATTCCATGTCAATTCAAAAAGCACTAACTCATTGGTGCCTCTAAAGAACAACTACCATCTTCACGTGGACAGCAGCCATGAAACTGGGGGAATCAGGAGAAAAAAACCCAAAGTGCACGACACTTTCAAGGTATTTTCAATTTGCTGTGGTATAAAGAGGAAATAAAGAAAGACAGAACTAGCTACGTCAGCAAAGTTTCATCCATATTACACAAGAATGCACCGTTGACGTTCAACCTAGCCTGTCTTCATGAATAATCTGCCAGAACAGGGACTGAATTCATACCTCTGCCGATTGACATCAGATTTTTGAGAGGACATATAGTCCACTTCTGTAAAGTATGTCTCAAGGCTGCCATAATCTGTTCTCTTTAACTTGTTTTTCACCCACCTCGCCCCAAGGTGCAGTTTCTCCCCTGAAGAGGGAGTTGGACAACTCCACCGATATACGCTTCTTGTAATCCTGCGGTTTGTCTTCAGACATACGGTACAGCACGGCTGCAGCATACGTGGCTGCAAGGAGATAAAAATGGGTCCAGATCAGTTTAAACATGTTAAAAGAGGCTACCGCCTGCTGACAGAGGGGGTCCAAGTTGTTGCCGTCAAAGTTTGAAAAACTGTTATTTGACAACGGCAGCAGTCAAGGATACCTTGGATTAAAACTGGCAGGCAAAAAAAAAAATCGCCTTCCATGACAAAGATATTCCCAGAGTAGTTTTCTGAAATAGCTTGTAGGCAATAATCACAAATTCTCCAGAAAAATTATTCCAAATTCAACTAATCCAACAGCATAATTTGTGAAAAGAGACCATGTCATATTAACATTACTGGTTCCAAATAAGGTGATCATATAAAGGTAAACTGAATCTAGCCTGATCAAATAAAGCAGGAGATTGATCACTTCAAAGAGAGAAAGTGGAGTTTGTTCTCACCAACTCCCTCATTTCGGGAGTGAAGCAGCTCTGTCAGCGGAGCGGTGGCCCCTTCCTGTTCAATAATCTCCGCCCCCTCCTTGTCCTGGGCCAGCTCGCACAGCACGCCGGCAGTCACGCGCTGGATGTTCTCCACGTTGGAGTACAGGAGCTGGGGACGACAAAGAGGCCAAGAGCGAGCATTTAGGACTATCAACCCTTGGAGAATGTTGGCTAGAAACAGTGCAGAGAGTCAGATCATGTTGCTGAAAGGTGACAGGCTGGTGGCTCCATGTGGCCGGTCCATTATACTGATTTCGTTTGAGCGTTTGAGATAATGGCTACATGTTTAGAATCCCACAAACAACAGTGGATTGTCAAGTGGGACCGGTATGTTTGCCCAAACCCAGTGTTTCGTAAGTCTCATACTGTCTCAGTGAACAGCCTGGAACAAGGCCAAATCTGTAACCACTTTGCTTTGAACTAGTGCACTATGCCTGCAGTATTCAAGCATTCTTTATTGATGATGATAAAACATTTATTTCAATGCTGTCATTCTTTACAATGTAACCAAATATATCTGGCCATTAAATTAAGCAACATTACATAAAATAGGATTACATATTTGATAAATTAGAAGACAACATTTAGATTTAAGGTTAAGCAGGAGCACTTTTGTAACCCCAACCTATAGACAAACAACCATCACCACACAATCTAACACGGGACAGACAAATGACAAACAAGATAAAACAAAGAAGTTTATCTCTGTGTTCTGAGGAATTCATAAGCAAAGGGGTTCTAGCATTCAAATAATTTGATAACAGAGAACAACCAAGTCACAAGTTACACGTTTCCTATAAGATCGAGCACTTACAATGTAAAATGTCACTAAAGACCAAAATTGAACCCAAGAAGTCAAACAAATGACACATGAAAACTGCATCTGACACAAAAGATGTAGCACAATAAAATCAATACAACTTTAATATTGAGAAACTTTCTCCATTAGCTACCATCAGTCAAGACGACCAATGAAATGAGCAGTATGCAAAGGCACAGTCCTATAGACTCGCTACATGAAAGACGAATACCTGGACAAAGAGGGGCACGGTGCTGAGGTTTCGGATCAGCATCCTGTTATGCATGTCTCTGGCCAGTATGTGCAGGGCGCCGACGGTCCCTTCAATGATCTCTTCCATGCGCACGCCGTCGGTAAAACTCTGTCCATTGGCCCCGCCAGACTGTCTCTGAAAGTTCCCAATTCGGTATTAGAATTGATCAGAGGCGCAATCTACTAGAGGGCTATCTGTTTCATATTCAGTACTCAGCTAGTGTCTGCAGGATGCTAATTTCTTTTATGAGTGATACATGAGCACAGAAATTCAAACTGCTTCCATTACAAAAGTGGGTGTTTCTTAAAGACGGAACATATTTCTGGTCCCTCCATACAGAGGAGCAACATGAAGGGAAGAAAACATTGTCAAAGAGCATTCTCGACCACACTTAAAGAAATCTTCTCCGGCACTAGTTACTGGGATACAATTTAAGCTTTGGAGACAGGCCCAATGCAGCAAAATGTGACAGTAAGAAGTGAAGCAGAGCTCTGTCTTGTACCCACCTACACCATGCCCGTGGAAACATCTGCGTATTGCATGCTGAAAATATGCCAAATTTCCAGTCTCCATTACAAACCCAATAGCTGTACAAACACTTACAAAATAATGCCTCATCAGGGACCACGACACCAGTTACATTGTTAAATTTATGGGCATAATTGTGTGTCTGTCTTACCCTCTGTGAGTCCTGGTTAGCCCTCATGAGAAGTTGGACGAGCCGTGGGATGACGCCGTGTTCACGAAGTGGTGCATGGTTGGCTGGGCACAGGGCCAAGTTACGCACCAGTCCGACAGTGGCCTGTGTGAGACAAAGAATAGCACTGTCAATATGTGAAAACATGATTGCACGAGACAAGGATTCAGACTCAGTAAAAATCAGAATAAAGGTTGCTCAGTTCTTGCATTTACATTAAATAAAACCTTTACACCCTAAGAACAAAATCTGAATAAGGTGTCCAAATTACAACTAACATTTCAAACAACTTCTTTGCTCAAAAATCTAGGACTGTCACCATTTTGGCCCATAAGCAAATAACATTGTTATTAAAATTGGAAAATACAGAATTTGATGAAGTTGTTCCGATTTTTCCTTCCGGCATCAATAACCGTTCTAACATTTCACAATGACCAAATTGACTAAAGTCTCAAGTACACCACTCAACAAAGCCAGGCATTCCCGGATATCAAGTGAGCAGATTCGAAGTTACAATTGTACGTTCTGAGCAAAGACGAATGATCTAAAATTCCAGTCACTCACTTTGATGAGAGGCCAGTGTGATGGGGCCTGCAGGAGCTTAGCGGCAGCAGGAATGCCATAGTGGAGGCGGACCGAATTCTGGGCCATCTCAGCTTCTGGATGACGGCTGGTCAGGTGACGTAGGGCACACACCTTCAAGGAATGAACACAGTCAAATGGAGACGGTCACTCTCTTTTTTACTCAGGGTTGGATTTTTTCAGATTATGAACACAGCAACAGCAAATGTATTTCATTGATTGGAGGCTGAAGAAAAAAAATCACAGCAGAGAGTAGTAACAATAATACACATAAACATTTCAACGGTATGTGCGGCACTATAGCCATTCCCACTGGTCGAGAGCCTGACATGTGGCACGTCTTAGAAGGCTGATTAAGCACTGGCTGACTGCGCTGCCTCACCCAATATGCACTGCGGGCACCAATCTTCACGTAAGAAGACTGTCAATGACTACTTGTGAAAGGAACATACCATAATGTGGCCAGAGGGCTGTTTGAAAAATATGAAGCTGCACAAAATGGTTGGAAATTCATGATTTTTAAACTTTGTTTGAACTTTGTTACTCAAAAGATATCTATGAATGGGAAAAGTTTATAAATGCCTGGCCGATGTTGGAGAATGAATGTACATGTGCTCCTTTAGCTCAGGCATTATCAACGCCCATTCTCCCGCTCCAGTTTTAAACAAATGTTGATGACCATCCTAGCACATATTTATTTGATATTTCCATCACAGGCTTTTAACAACTAACAAGACATGAGGTACCTATCAAATGGCTACACTTTGTTTGCACTTGGGGAGGTTGTAAAAACAAGCTTGAATGATTAATCTTTTAAAAAAGCCCCTCACTTTTGGGTCTAAAACCCTGAAGTCTAGACAAAATTCTGAGGCACTGCGGCACAGACAATAACACAAAGCATCCTGTTACTCCAAACGATCTCTGAGTTTTTTGACCTGCCAATCTTACCCCCGGTTCAGTGATCTCCTCCCTGTCCCCGGCCTGGATGACCACACGCACCAGGGCCTCGATGCCGCCAACCTGGCACACCGTGATCTTGTTCCGGGCGTTGTTGCAGGTCAGGTTGGACAGGATGCCGCAGGCGCAGGTCACCACGCTGATGTCCGTGGAGGCCAGCAGCTGCACCAGCATCTGCAGGAGGCCTTCCATATCGTCCTGCGGGGAACGTGACCATGTTTCAGCCCTTTTGTCATTGTTTGGACAGCCAGAAATATCCATTCACTTCCCCTGCTATGACTTCTACCCAGGCTAGTCATCAATATTCAAGGTAGGGCCTACTTTATCGAGGACAGAATGAACAATTCAACAAGGAATACCTTCAGGTTTTATCCTGAGGTACTCCATACAACCCTTTTAAACCTTGTAAAACCTTAGGGTGAACCTCTATTCTTCACTTGTTTAACCACTTCATGCCGGGCATTTTTCAATGTTCATGATAATGGGCCAGCATAATTATCATTTTTTCCATTTTCAAAATTCTTAAAAAATTCATCATTTCATTTAACGGACGTTCATAGCCGCACGAAGTAATCTTTAGGCACTACTCTAAGTTGACAGGTGACCTTCATTGACGCCCGAGTATTTTAGCCAGGCCTGCAGCCTTGCAAAAAGAGCCCAGATTGTGCAGTGTTACTGTAACTTTCTTTTGTTCACGAACCTAGCTCAGTGCACTGCTGACCTCTTTTCAATAGGGGCCAGATTAGCGTGCAGCGGTGCTGTGTGGCTCATCGCTGCGGTGGTGGAGCGCTTTTGTCCCCGGTGGTAATCCGCTTGCTATAAATGCCCCAAACCCTGGTATACGGTTTCAAAACAAGGCTGGACTATCACCACTTTTGAGAGTGAAAAATGTCGATAATGCCCAGAAGCCTGGTCTTTTGTTCGTAGTACGGTCTTTTGTTACAGGGCCCTGTTTCCTTTGTCCGAGTTTGGAGACCCCGGCCACACATATAAAGCATACGTCTCTGATCCCGGAGTCCCCGGCAGGAAGTGGTTAATTTTGCTTTCTTCCCAACAAAGTAAGAACTTTGATTTCAAATGATACAAGAGATTTGCAGACATGTCAGGCGTCCTTTCACACTGTATGTACCCAACTCTATCAAATAACAGTGACATTAACAACCCTGATCATGTGAAGCAAGGACAACCACAGCCAAGCCAACTGATCCTGTTTATGTGGGCAGAGAACAAATAAACACGGTCACATGATAAATTCCACTGGGAGGGCCAGCTTTGTCTGGTGACTCAGCTACAGTACAAGAGTTCACGGCGGATGTGGGTACCCTCCGATTGCAAAAGCCGGTACATTTTGGCCACGACATTTTCTGCCATCACTGGGGTGATATTTATCCACTTGCTGCCAGGGAACCCCGTTTCAATCACCATGGGTTTATACGCAGAGCCAGGCTGCCCGAAATGGGATAAAAGAGCCGTTCCGTGTAACAAAAGACCGTACTCGGAACAAAAGACCTGCTGCTAGGAATTGCTATCAGTTTTCGGCTTGCATTTTCGAAGGTAATCCGTCACTGTTTTTAAACAGTATACCACTGTCTTGGGCATAGCCCGCCAGAGGATTAGCACCGTAGACTAAAGTGCTCCAGGGCCCCATTGATGAGCAACACAGCACCGCTGCATGCCAATCCAGCCGCATTTGAAAAGACGCCACTCGCATTCTCTGGGGACAAAGGAAATTACGCAACACCTCACAATTCTGGGCTCTCTTTACAGGCGGCAGGCCTGGCTGAAATACTCAGGAGTCAATGAAGGTTGCCTGTCAGCTTAGTGTAGCCACCAAACAGTCATTCGTGTGGGTGTAAACGTCCATTAAATGAAATGATGAATTTTCGAAAAAAAATTTGATAACTGAAAATCTTGAGAATCTCCCGTATGTGTGCACTGCATGTTTTAAAAGCACCCGGCAGCAAGTGGTTAACTTCCACGTGTACAGCTCATGCTGTCATAAATTGTTTCACTCACCATTCTGACGGCAGCATCCGACAGATTACGCAGGGTCCACAGGCAATTCTGTACCAGTCTGTTGCTCTGGTGCCCAAGCTGCATGCCCAAAGCCTGCATACCACCTGTTGGAATACGACAACCCAATCAAGCTCAACCACCTGTCGGGCTACTATTCAATCAGAATGAAACCAATCCCTTCTTCACTGTTTTAAAGGCATTTTGATTGAGGGCCTCAAGATCCTCGTAACAGAAACTGACACTGCTCACTATGCTGATATTCCTGACCAATCAGCAAGGCTCCAATGCATTAATGCAAAATTTCTACTTCTTGCAAAAAAAACACACTTCACGCTGCCCCTTTTACCTTCCCATGAAAAGAGTCAAACAGTTTAATTGAGAGGCTCAACGCATCAGACAAAGATTAAAAGCAACACTGCTCATTACACTGGTATTGCCAACTGTCACCATCGGGCAGAGCTCGACACCAAGTCATAAGACTTCCAATTCTTGCAGACAATCAAACTTTCAGCCTATCTTCCCTCTGCAGAACTTACCAGCTTCGACGATGGCTGGCTTGTTGCTGGGACAGACAGACAGCACTTTCAGGACACGGCTTGTTGTCCACAGCAGCTTCTCGTAGGTGTAGGTACGCATGATGCGGACCAACTGGGCTGGGCCTCCACTGGCAAGGATGATGAGCTACAGAAGAAGAGACGGAATAATGCATTATTCTTATGGCTTGGCCCTAACTCCGTTCAGGTGCTCCCGAGGTTAAAGCCAACGGACATCAATAGCAAAGTGTGAAGCACACCGAGCCCCACACGACCCACCAGCAAGAACGAAGCACAAACGAATGATAAGCAACAAATGACAACACAGGGTTCCTGCACCTAAAGGACGATTCAATACCATGACTCTTCCATGACCAAATTATGAAAATCCATGACCCAATAATGGACTATTCAGACTTTCAAAGTTACAAATAAAATCACTCATTTTATGCACTTAATTCTGATAATGGGAATCACACACAGTGTTTGAAAAATTCAACGACTTTTGTTATTCTTACAAAATTCCATGACTTTTCCAGGCCTGGAAAACGAAACAAAATTCCATGACTTTTCCAAGCC